GTCATGATGACAAAATTCAGTAAGGTTTCCCATCGCTGCCAGATAATATATGGAACAGGAGCTAAAGAAAGATATCACACGATAGTGTCATAGAATGGTTTGAGTATTGGCTGCAACTCTGGAGACCTGGGTTTGAATATCTGTTTGACCACAGAAATTTACTGGGTGACCTTGAGAAGGGGCTGTAATGTAATCCTTTTGTGCTCCAATGCATTGCTCAATGTGGTGCTGGCTGTTCATACATAGTTACTAGGCTTGGGCCGTTTCGTTAGTTAATTTCGTAATTCGTTATTAATTCGTATTTAAATTAGCTTACGATCCAATATTGAGCCATGCAGGAATAGTGTGAGGAGTAAATTAGATTCGAAACAATTTTTTCAATTTATTTCGTAATTATTTTGTAATTATTTCATAATTATTTTCGCATGTCTGGTGCAAGTTTTATAGTTGTTGTTTGTTTTATCACCAACAGTCAACAACAGAGGGAGAGGGAAGCTTCAGAAGTTCCCCCGTCCCATTTGGAGGTTTTTTTAGCATATTGCGCAATTGCGTCCGCCATTAACGAATCGATTCGTAATTATACGAAATTTTGTATATTTTGAAATTTTTAAAAGGAAAATTTCGGAATTATTAAAAAAAACAAAACGCAAGGGCCCCCTAAAAACAAAACGAGTTTAGAACCAAATTTTTCCGTGGTTACCCAAGCCTAATAGTTACACAATCATAACTAAGTCTGTGATGTTCTATCTCAGCCATCATGATTACTATTGTATATGAAGCACTATTTAGATCAGGCATGGGTAAACTTTGGCCCATCACACGACGTCTCTGGACTTCCGGTGGAGGCCCTACCTAGAACTGGAGTGGAAGCATTGTATGATGCTTCCCTCGCAACATGGGAGGCTTCCTGTGTTGTGCTGGCTCCAATGGAGCCAGTGAATCCACACAGTTTTGGCGACGATTCTCCCATATGATGGGGGAAGCATCACTGTGAAGGAGCATTGCATGGGGTGACAGATTAGCCCTGCTGTCCCTCAGATCACTGGCGAGATGCTTTGCCTGGCTAATGTGATAAGGTCCTAAAATTTAAATCAGCTATCCAAGGTTCTGAATCATGTCATGTCTGATGTAAACATCCATAAGGGGATTTGTGGTTGCTGGATATCACACCACTTAGTCAATTGGTGTGTGATGAGTATTTTGTATCAATAAAATACAACTGTAGCAACCAATCAGACTTATTCAAAACATGTTGTTAATGGAATATAAATATTACCTTTGGACCAATAGGACCAGGAAGGCCAGGGGGTCCTGGTAAGCCAGTTTCACCTGCCTCACCCTGAAGAAAAGATGCAAACAAACAGAAGAAGAAGCAAACACAGATAGGAGCTTTTAAAAAAACTGTTATAGATAAAAAAAGGTTATGAAAGATGTGATGGACAGAAATATCATAACACAGACATTAGGAAATAGAAAGCAAAGGTCTGAAAAGTACAGATGGAAAATATCTAGAAGTGCCACCAAAATATAAAATATGCCAGTATTGACTTCTATCATTTTGTTTTTTTTATGGAATCCTCCTTTACCCCCAAAATGGGTTTTCTACATTTGCCTCAATTAGTTTTTTAAAAATTAAAACCTTGTTTTTTTTAATACACTAGAGGCTTTGAATCATCTCTGAGTCCTTCTCATTTACTCTGTGTGAGTGCTATAAATCTCTCTTCGGCCTTCGATACCATCGACCACGATATCCTCCTGGGACGCCTCGCGGGAATGGGCCTTGGGGATACTGCTTTGCAGTGGCTCCAGTCCTTCCTCAAGGGGCGCTCCCAGAAGGTGTTACTAGGGGACTCCTGCTTGACTCCACGGCCATTGTACTGTGGGGTCCCGCAGGGCTCTGTACTGTCCCCTATGTTGTTCAACATATACATGAAGCTGTTGGGAGAGATCATCCTGAGTTTCGGGGTTTGATATCATCTGTATGCAAATAATGTCCAACTTTGTTACTCCTGTCCACCTGCTACTAAGGAATGTATAATATGAAAGCAGAAAGTGGCACCTGTAATTTAAATTGAACTTCTGGGCAAGTTTTTTTTAAAATATACTCATTATAAGGTCCAGTGTGAGACTTTCAATACAGACACAATTTAAGCCTTTATGTGTGAAAACACCTTAAGGAAGACATCTGTAATGAAATACCACCAACCATTTTCTCATCCGCCCATTTGTTACTACAGGCACAGAAGCTGGTCAATTTCCAAGTCTTCTACCTGCTTAGAAACAACTTCTGTTGCATGTTTCCACCCTGGCATTTTTATACAGATCCTCTTTCAGTGGATACCCATCCTATGATTGCGTTCTTACAGGAAGAAATACATTCTTTTCCCCCATGAATTAAAAAAAAGTTGGATAAATTAATCTATTGTCGAAGGCTCTCATGGCCGGAATCACTGGGTTATTGTAGGTTTTTCCGGGCTATATGGCCATGTTCTAGAGGCATTTTCTCCTGACGTTCGCCTGCATCTATGGCAAGCATCCTCAGAGGCAAGCATCCTCACTACCTCTGAGGATGCTTGCCATAGATACAGGCGAAACGTCAGGAGAAAATGCCTCTAGAACATGGTCATATAGCCCGGAAAAACCTACCTCACTACCTCTGAGGATTGCTGGGAGTTGCAATCCAGGAATAGGAAATTAGAAATATGGAGGAATTAGGATGCTCTCAAAGAAATCTAAGGAGAAGAAAGCTTGCATCTTGGAAGCAGTGCATTTGGATCATCCTTCTCTCCTAAAGGGGCTGGTCTAGGGGATGCTGGGAGCTGTAGTCTGGAAGATAGTTTGGATATGCCATTGTGTGTGGGGGGGGGGGGTTGCCAGTGAGAGTCGTTTTTGTGCATGCACTGTAGCATCATTTTGCTTTTTTTGCTTTTTAAGTTCCTTCTGCTGTGTTTTTCAGTGTTTTTATGAGTGATGGTCACTCATTGGCCTGATAGGTCTATTGTGTCCAAATTCCGTGTCAATTCGTCCAGTGGTTTCTGAAATATGTTAAGCCCACAAACTAACATTACATTTTTATTTATATAGATGTTGGGTTTGTTTCTTGCACTGCAGATGCTCTCTTGAGAATGAGAATTAACTATGCAAGATCCATGGCCTTTTCCCAGTCTATGGTTCTGTGATGCTTCATGGATACAAGTTCAGCTTTCCAGTGGCAATGACAGATATTCATGCAAACAATTTAAGGCCTAATTTTTGGAAGATGCTTTGGGTGCCATTTGTGATAGAAGATTACAGTCAAAACATATCTCTCTCTCTCTCTCTCTCTCACACACACACACACACACACACACACTTAAAACTTAAGCTCTCTGTAAGTGGGTACGACAATTCAAAGATGGCCATGACAATGTCCATGATGAGGACCGCTCCGGTCGCCCTTCTTTGATTACAGATGATTTGGTGGCTTCAGTTGAAATGAGGATTCGTGAGAACAGGTGCTTCACAATAACAATAATAAAAATCTTTGAATTGTCGTACCCACTTACACACTTTGCTTTCACTCATAACAACATCACCGTACACTTCACAAATCTCTAGATGAATTTCTGCAGCAGGCAGGTTCCTTGCTGACAAAAACCGTATCACTGAGCGAACCTCACATGCGGAGGGTGAGTTGATAATCTTAAACATTTTTAAAGCACAGAACAGAACCGTACAGGTTAGCTACAGAGCGGAAACTGAGCACAGTTGTTCCCGATGCATGCCGGTACACGACGCACGTGCTCGTTGCGGTATGCGCGCGAACTACTAGTGTCTACAACAAAACGGACCTTACTTAAAAAATACCCCTCATATATAATTAACAAAAGCATAAAAATAGAAAACCAGTGAAGACTACTGCCCATTCTGATGGGAAGATTTGAGGAGTTGTAGTCTCAAAAAGTAGCATTTCCAGATTCTGGAAAGCTATGTTGTTGCATTGGTATTTTAATGTTCCATAAATGTTCATTAGCCTTCAGTTTTAATGTCACTCTAATATTTCCTAGTTATGTGTTTTGTATTGACAATTATTTTAATTATTGTGCATTGCCCTGGGTCATAGTAAACAGAAGTTATGATTCATAAATCAGCTAGCTAACTCTACACATTATTATGCTACAGGGAGCATTGCTAAACATTTCAGTTAGGCTTTATTCAGGGTAAACTGGGAGATAATATGGAATATTTTCCATAAGAAAGTGAACACAAAAGTTGTTTTAAAATAAGAAACTGGAACAATTTTGGGGTTTCCAGAATTTTCATGCCCAAACTCTCCTGGCAGAAAATGTCCTCAGTAGCTAAGAAACCTTAATACTACTTGAGAAATTGAAATATCTCCAATCCCACCCTTTTGTAATAGATTCCACCCATGGGGAATGACAGAGGTTGTGATGGCTCAAGAGGAAGTCACACTTACATTAAACCTAGTCATTCCCAGACAAACTTACTCGTTGGTAGGAAATGACTGAAGTGCTATGACTAGGATATGCTTGTGTATATGTGCCAAAACAAGGAAAAGATGGTGCATCTTTGCCAACGCATTCCCAGATGACTCAAATTCACTTTAATGTATTTAAAATCCTACTGTATACATTTCATTTTCCAGTGCTGTGCTGCTCAAATATTTTGTTCATACCTTTCTTCCATGGTAGCCCTGAATTCCAGGTTCTCCCTGTAAAAGTGAAGCAAACGAAAAACAAGCCATGAACAAGACTGGATGGAGACCAAACACCTTTCCCTTTTGGAATATGAACATACATTAACTTAATCCAGATTCTGAAAAAGTATATCAAGAAATCAAGTGCTGCGGTGCATTCCTATTCCCCATAATTTTTTAGCTTTGGAAAACCAATGGGTCTAGCTGTTGTAGTAGAGTGTGCTGAGCAAGCTACGAGTAGTAGAAGGGCAAAGAAGACTGCTCAGGTGTTAGATCAAGAGCAGCAAAGGAAGCGAATTAGGGAAATATTCATGACACCTACAGATACTGAGTCATTCGAAGGGTTCACAGATTCTGAGATGGAGGAGGAGGGAGAGGAATGTAGAGGTTTGAAGTGGGTTACTCGGGATCAAGAGTCAGATGAAGAGAGAGAAAGGAAGCGGATCCGTGAAATACTTAATGCTCCGACTGAGGAGGAAGACTTCATGGGGTTCACAGGGAGTGATGGGACTGGGAGTGATGACGGGGAGGAGGATGGGCTAGATTGGACCCGTGTACAAGAGATCAGGGACATATGTACTCAACCCACATCAAGTGAGGAGTTTGAAGGGTTCTCGGGAGACTGGCAACCTGGAAATACATGGGGTGATCTAAGTCTTGATAGACGCTGGAAAAGTTGGAGGGACGGGCGGTGGTGAGCAGCTGTGGAAGCAAAAGCACCTGAGAGTGATGAAGACAGGGTGGAGTCCAGCTCCACCTCTGATGAGGAGTTACAGGAAAAAAGTAAGGTATCAAACTATTGGAACTTTGCAGTAGGCAAAGTGTTGTATTCGGGCTTTGGACTTTGTTGCTGCCATTACTCTTGCTTTGGGTCCTGGGACTGCAGATCGTTGTGTTTCCATGTTACTACCGACTGGAATCCTGTAAGTGCTGACTTCTACCTTCCTGCTGACTTCGGATTGCTTTTTGATGACGACCATCTCGTTTTGGATTTCTACTTCAACTTTTGGACGTGTTTTGACTCTGGACTGTTTCCTGACTTTGTTTTTGCTTGCTCCTACCTTGATACCTTGTGTTTTATGAACTCTGTGATTTTGAAGCAGTTTGCTTAGTTTTTGTTATACCGGATTATATCTCTGTATAATCCGGATTATTCTCCAAGTTGCGTTTTTTGCTTAGCAGTTGCTACAGACTTTGTTTTATTGCCCCTCTCACTGAATTCAAGTGTTTCTAAGCTATTACTTGTGTTTGGCTCCTTTAAGGCTTCTGGTTCACGACACTAGCTGCGTCCCACTGTTAAGAGTGGAGAAAATTGAATGTTGTCTTCTGAATGTTTCCCTTTTACTTTGTCTAATCACTTCAGATTAGATTTCTGCATAAATCTAGAGCAGTGGTTCTCAACTTGTGGGTCCCCAGATGTTTTGGCCTTCAACTCCCAGAAATCCTAACAGCTGATAAACTGGCCAGGATTTCTGGGAGTTGTTAGGCCAAAACACCTGAAGACCCACAGGTTAAGAACCACTGATCTAGAGCAAATCCTTATATTCAAACGTCATACATACAGTCCTCAAACATTCTGGGCAACAGAAATGCTCCTCCATGGGATTCTACGTGAGAGGAATCTTTGGTCGCAATGAACACTACCATGGAGGTAAGTTTGAGCTAGAATATCTTCCCAGATAAATAGAATAATAGGGGGTGCAGGATGCCATCACACTCAGGCTGCCGAAAAAAAACTAGTAAGAACAGTAAGACTCTCACATAAGGTCTTTCATAGAATATCTGGAATTTATGGATTATAATTAAATGATCTTCAGCTCTGTAGTGATGTCATTACTTCTGTGAGTTGCCTCCTTTCTAGATTAAAAAGAGGCGACTATAAGAATTGTTTTTAAGAGTGCACCATATACCCCAAAATGAAATTGGATGGTGATGTAATTACATACATGGATACAGTAATATTAAAATTTAAGTTTTAAACTTTTTTCTACTTTTTGGCAGAAATATGTCAGATTATTCTGAAACCACGAGAGTTCTTCTGGGAAATGGCACTGTTCTGACCAAAACATATTTGCTAATACTACAGAATAACAGCTAAGGCTGGCAACTTGGCAGTGTTGCCGTATTAGAATCATAGAATCATAGAGTTGGAAGAGACTTCATGGGCCATCCAGTCCAACCCCCTGCCAAGAAGCAGGCTTATTGCATTCAAAGCACCCCTGACAGATGGCCATCCAGCCTATGTTTAAAAGCTTCTAAAGAAGGAGCCTCCACCACACTCCGGGGCGGAGAGTTCCACTGCTGAACGGCTCTCACAGTCAGGAAGTTCTTCCTCATGTTCAGATGGAATCTCCTTTCTTGTAATTTGAAGCCATTGTTCCATGTCCTGGTCTCCAGGGAAGCAGAGAACAAGCTTGCTCCCTCCTCCCTGTGACTTCCTTTAACATATTTATACATGGCTATTGTTCTGGTACGGCTGTACCAGGAGCTCCAATTTTATTTGCTTTGTATTAAATGTTTGCTTGCAGTCCAAGGTTTCAGGGATTCTGCAAATAGGTGGCTTCCTTTGGTTGCAGCCATAGGGTAAGTCACCTGTCCATCATCGTTAAGTTTTGGTTCCGCCCCTTGCTCAGGGCAATTGGGAAGGGAAGGGAGCCATTTTTTAGTTAGTCTCAGCAAGGAAAGCTAATGTACAGGACGTGTGCAAGCTTCCCCTGTACAAAAGCTTTAACCCTTAAGACTTTCCGAGGGAAAACAGTCTTAAGAGTCTCCAAAGATTTCCAGGAAAACAGCCCTAAAGACCAAAGAACTCCAGCTGGAGAACATCTAAGCCTTTACTGGTAGGTCCACTCGGCGTTCGAGAAGCAGTTCGACCCAGTAGCAGAGCCCACATCAGTAAGGGTTAGATTACAGTCAGCCTGGGAGAAGTTAAAAAGGGGACTTTCCTTTAAAGTAAAGAAGAAGTTATTGAAGACAGTTGCCTGTCCTTCGTGGGCAAGTTTAGGAAGCTACCAGTTGCATAAAAGCCTGGAATCATTTGTTTATCTTTACTGAAGACAAGAGAAGTTTCTGTTTGATTGTGCATTAATAAAAGACTTTGTTATACTTCACAAGCCATCTGAAGACTATTTGTGGTGGAAAACCTCTGAGAACTTCTCCTTGGGCCCCCTGGCTTCCTGTCTTAAAGGAAATTCTTTACAGGCCCAGTGCACGACAGAACAGCTATCATATCTCCTCTTGGGCCTTCTCTTCTTCAGGCTATTAATGAAAATTTAACTGAAACTAACTTCTTGACACTCATTTAGATTTTTCTAAAAATTACAGGTGACAACACGCAAAGAAACAAATGAGGGTTCTTTGGAGGAAGATTTTAAAAGTCCAAATGATTAAGTAATTTTTTAACAAAATAATTACTTTTTAAAAGTTTTACGTAGCAGGAGGGGTATGAATGAGACCACCACAAGCTCTCAATTCATTAAGACATTTCACATGAATAAACATTGCTGCATAATAAAATCCATATGGGTTCTGAATATTTATTTTTGAATTGCCTAGTCCTAAACCCTTTGAAGGCATGGAGCCTAGAAACTGTACCTTTACTATAGATTTAGGTTTGCGGCTTTGATATATGTTAAATTTATGTTTCGTAAAAAAACAATCTTCAGCCAGATTCTTCCCTACCCATTTGCAAAACATTACAGACTAATTCCTTTTTAATTAGAACATTTGACCTCCTCTTGAGAACTCATTTCATAATTATAGTCTGTGGGTTGTTTTTTTTTTTTTTTTGAGGAATTTCACATTTCAGGGCAGTTAGAATATCCAGCATTCATACTGAATTGCTTAGCTTACCTTTGGTCCAGGAGGTCCTGGCAAGCCCTGAAGAGAAAAGGATGTGAGATTATAAAAATAATAAAACATGAAAGTCTCACTCTTTACAGCTCTGAAATAGACAATATAATATTACTGATGTGTGCCTTCATGTCATTTACAACTTACGGTGACCTAAGGGAAACCTATCATAGATTAGGGTTGTTGTAGGTTTTTTCGGGCTATATGGCCATGGTCTAGAGGCATTCTCTCCTGATGTTTCGCCTGCATCTATGGCAAGCATCCTCAGAGGTAGTGAGGTCACCTCACTACCTCTGAGGATGCTTGCCATAGATGCAGGCGAAACGTCAGGAGAGAATGCCTCTAGACCATGGCCATATAGCCTGAAAAAAACCTACAACAACCCAGTGATTCCGGCCATGAAAGCCTTCGACAATACTATCATAGATTATCTTGGCAAGATTTGTTCAGGGGAAGGTTGTTCTTGCCTCCTGAAAAAATAAATCCTATTCTAATAAAAAAATGCCACTGTGGTAGGATTAATCACATATCTTTCCTAACCATTTGTAAGGTGGCTGTGTAATCTTACACAATTCTGCTATCAAGCTACTGGTTACTCATGTCAAAATTAAAGCAAATTGACTCAAAAACTCGTGGGTTAGATACAGCTATGCTTCAAGTAAAGCCACTAAAATCAATAGAATTTAAGGTAGATACTTTAAGCATGACTAAATCAGACTCCAACCTTGATTTTCCTAGGAATTGCGTCATCTTCTATTCAATGATGCATAGAAATCAGCAAACTGTGATGGCACGAGTGGCGCCACCTATGTGTAGAACTGTTAGTTGCAAGATATAAACTGTTGTATCATGCTTAATCCTGCCCTTTTACCCTGCTTATGTATTGTTGAATTGATTGGTTATTTATAGCTGTCAATCAGTGTTGTTTGCACCAGTTGAATTGCTTTTTCAGCTTAATTGTTTGGTTCCACCTCTTCCTGGAGGAGGGCAGTGCTTCCCTTTTTCATTCTGCCATCAGAGTTTCTATCAGATGGACGTGAGTAAGAGACTTGGCTCCAAAAGCCCCTGATTAAATTACCTCTCAGCACCAATTCTGAGGTTTTTTACCCTTGAGACTTATGCTTCATGTTCAGGCCAACCTGAACGACGTTGGGAAGTCTCAAGCACCTTCAGACCAGTTCTTTTGGCATCAGAGGAAGACCCTGAGTCTTCAAACATAGGCCATCTGGACTGGGGCTGTGGATTGCTCCGGCATTTACAGCCATTGAGGAAAGAGGGAACTTGGAGAAGTTTCTCAGCTGCAAACTCCTTGGACCCAGGACTAACTGAGACTGCAATGTACATTTTCCTTTACCCCTTTGAAACTTCCAGATTATTGCCTTAAAGAGATAACTTTTTGTGAACAATAAAACTTATTTTGAGTTATCTACAGTGTTCTGGGTCTTTGAGAGTTCCAGTTTCCTAAAGGAGGGCAAAAAGCAATCCCCTGGGGAAAGATGTCACGTCCATGCCTCTTTCACTAAGAGCTATAGCCTCAGGCATGACGGCACACAAATTCAGAGAGTTTTTATTGTAGAGCAGGACTGTTTTTTTTAAAGTAGCTTAATCTGATCACACTCAAATGAAGTAGCAAAATAACAATATAAGTCATTCATTTCTGTTAATTCATCCCTTCATTTACCCGTGCAGATATCATCAACATTATCATTGTTTGTATCGCATCTTTCCCTAATAATGAAACTGCTAAACAAACATGCATTATATATATCTTTTTCCTCAGGACTGAAAAAGTTAACAATTTCCATGAAAGCAAATTCGGCATGCATACGATTAAATAGATACCTTTCCGTCTCTGCCTGGCTTCCCTGGTTCTCCTACTTTCCCCTAGGGCAGAAAAAAAAAGTTCTTTAGAGATTCCAGATTAGTGTTCCTTATTTTAATGATTTCCACCTTTGTAAGGTGTTACTATTCCTGAGTATTGTACTATGGCGTATTTTGAGACCAGAGTGTTACTTCATCACAGAGCACTTCACAACAGCCCGGGGAAGAGGAAATAGCCTTTGCATATAATGTTTTCACAGGAGACATATAGAAGGTAACAAGGGCTTTGATGCTTCATCACCAAGGGATAGCCATGAAAGAAAAAGGGAAACCACAGCTTATTCTGGGAGAAGAGTAAGAGCGGGAGAAGCCTGACGAATTGAAAAGAGACTTACAGCTGAGCCAGTTGGCCCAGGTTGTCCTGGTGTTCCCGGAAGGCCTGGTGGTCCAGGTGGTCCTGGGGGCCCTTGGATGCCCGCCTGGCCTTGTTCACCCTAAGTTGTCACAGAAAGTAATGTTACTCTGCGTATAGCATAATGTGTGCGACATACAGAAAACCGAATTTGAGCAAAGAAAGATCAGCCAAGCCAAGCTCAGTTAGTTAAGTCCTTGAAGGGGTTTCCAACATTCAGACAAAGAGCAACTGTGGATGGGCTTCCTCTGTGGATTTCTTAATGAGCTTAATAAAGTTCACATTAGCCAGAATGGTAACTGCTATCTGATCTTAAGAGGAGAAAGTGAGAGCAATTTTAAAACCCCATCCAATGAACTCTCACACTTTAAAGGTCCAGCTACATATTATATATATATATGGGTGTGTCCCTGTAGCCTAATTTTTCAAGAAGAAAAGATGGTTCCAGGAGTGGGGAAACTGTATGTTGCCAGCAGAGGCGGCCCTAGGTAATTTTCAACGGTAAGCAAACAGTATTCCCCCCCCCCCCCGCCCCAACCAATCACTGATATAGGACATTAAGATCGTCTGGGGAGGCCCTGCTCTCGATCCCGCCAGCTTCACAAGCACGCCTGGCGGGGACGAGAGACAGGGCCTTCTCAGTGGTGGCCCCTCGGCTGTGGAACGCCCTTCCTGCAGATATTAGATCGATCCCCTCCTTGCTGGCATTCCGGAGGAAAGTAAAGACCTGGCTGTTTGAACAGGCATTCGACTAAGCAGTGTGATTGATTGACTGACTATTGGAACACGGAATATCGGATAACGAGTTTGGATTCTGATTTCATTGATGAGACCTGATGGATTTGTTATATTGATGTAGTGATGTATTGATGATTTAATGATTTGTGATGCTATTGCTTTTAAATGCTTAATGATTTTGTATTGTGTATACCTAAATTGTTGTAAACCGCTCTGAGTCGCCTAAGGGCTGAGAAGAGCGGTATACAAATAAAGTAAATAAATAAATAAATAAATAATAAATAAATAAATATATATTTTTTCTGTTCGTCGTGGGAGTTCTGTGTTCCATATTTGGTTCAATTCCATCATTGGTGGAGTTCAGAATGCTCTTTGATTGTAGGTGAACTATACATCCCAGTAACTACAACTCGCATATGTCAAGGTCTATTTTCCCCCAAGAGCGCCTCAAGAGCACCCCTGGGCAAAATCAACTATACTGCAAATGCTTACTTTGCGTAATGGGTTGAGCCGCCCCTGGTTGCCAGGGACATGATAGTGGTGAATACTATTTTGCTGTGATTGAGGATGTGGATACCGATGAGAGAAAATATTAAGTACACACAAACTCCTCACCACTTTTCCAGTCTTCCCTGGAACTATTTTCTTCTATTCAAAATGGCTATCTGGCTACCAGTTATATGTCTCATACAGCTTCGGCTTTACCACTTTCATCTGAATTCTTCAGAGATGCCTTTGAGTTGTCAACATTAGAAGTTTAACCACTATATATGTTGTTGGACTCCAGCCCCCAGCATCTCTTACATTTGACTATGCCAGATAGGCTACTGGAGTTATAATCCAACAACATTTTCTCCATCTCTTATTGAATGAATGAAACCTGAAACTGATTAAGTTTAATTCTTTCTTCAATATTAAATTCAGTTCTCATAGTCATCCTTCCTATGATATTGGCTTTCCTTTTCACTGGAATTGTTTTATTCTGCTGCTCATTCTATTAACTTCTTAAATGCTTCTTAAAACTTGTATTTTCCCTCAGATTTATCAGATGCATTTTCTTTAATACTGACTCCTGTACAAAAGGGCCAGGAATATAGATATATTTGATTGTTTCATCTTCACATGTCACAAAGAATAATTTCTAAGTTCTGTACAGTTGAGTTGTTGCAGGTTTTTCTGGGCTATATAGCCATGTTCTGGAGGCATTTTCTCCTGACGTTTCGCCTGCATCTATGGCAAGCATCCTCAGAGGTAGAGAGGTCTGTTGGAAGTAGGAACATATTATTTGAGAATACAGAAATGCTGGACCACTCTCACAACCACCATGTCAGACTACACAGAGAAGCCATTGAAATCCACAAGCATGTGAACAATTTCAACAGAAAGGAGAAACCATGAAAATGAACAAAATCTGGCTACCCGTATTAAAAAAATAACTCTAAAATTACAACAGCAAAACAACAGAGAGTAAACAATCAGACACATCTAATCACCTCTCAACAAAATGTTCCCCTAGGCACTGCCAAGCTATCAAATGCTAATTAAGGTGGTCAGTTAAAACATTCACACTTAGCTCCAGCAGACAAGAGTCCTTTGCCCCACCCTGGTCATTCCACAGATATATAAACCCATTTTTTCCTACTTCCAACAGACCTCACTACCTCTGAGGATGCTTTCCATATACACAGGTGAAACGTCAGGAGAAAATGCCTCTAGAACATGGCCATATAGCCCGGAAAAACCTACAACAACCCAGTGATTCCGGCCATGAAAGCCTTCGACAGTAAGCTGCTTGATGTTTAGCAAAACCTTTAGAAAACATATAGCACCAATTAATGGTTAAAAATAGCATGGGACATCTGATAGGCATGATGTTTGATCTCTGACTTGCTCCCTCCATCTAGTTACATTCCACATGAATCCTGGAGGGGCATTCCAGGCTAAAAGTATTCATAAACATTTCAGAATGCCACTGTAACAAGAGGCTTTGTGTGGGTTGGCATCTCACTATAGGAGTACTCTTTCGAGATGAACCATCTGCACTCATCTACAGAAACACACATAATACTGTCCTCAAACAAAGCCAAGGGCACACAATGGAATGCTATGTGCAGTTGTGTTATCTGAAGGCGCTAGACCTGGGGTCCTCAAACTTTTTAAACAGACAGCCAGGTCACAGTCCCTCAAACTGTTGGAGGGCCGGATTATAATTTGAAAAAAGCATGAATAAATTCCTATGCACACTGCACATATCTTATTTGTAGTGCAAAAAAAAAAAAACCTACTTAAAAACAATAAAATAATTAACATGAAGAACAATTTTAACAAATATAAACTTACTAGCCGTCCCCTGCCACGCTTTGCTGTGGCCCACATGGGGGTTAGGCCCAATTCTATCGTTGTGGGAGGTTAGGCCCAATTCTATCGTTGGTGGGATTCAGAGTGCTCTGTGATTGTAGGTAAACTATAAATCCCAGCAACTACAACTCCTGAATGTCAAGATTCTATTTTCCCCAAACTCTACTAGTGTTCATATTTCGACATATTGAGTAATTGGGTTGTTGTAGGTTTTTCCGGGCTATATGGCCATGTTCTGGAGGCAATTTTTCTCCTGCCGTTTCGCCTGCATCTATGGCAAGCATCCTCAGAGGTATCTGAGCTCACTACCTCTGAGGATGCTTGTCATAGATGCAGGCGAAACGTCAGGAGAAAAATTGCCTCCAGAACATGGCCATATAGCCCGGAAAAACCTACAACAACTCGGTGATTCCGGCCATGAAAACCTTCGACAATATATTGAGTAATTGTGCCAAGTTTGGTCCAGATCCATCATTGTTTGAGTCCACAGTGATCTCGGGATGTAGGTGAACTTCAACTCCAAAACCAAATGACACTGCCCACCAAACCCTTTCAGTATTTTCTGTTGGTCATGGGAGTTCTGTGTGCCACGTTTGGTTCAATTCCATCGTTGGTGGGGTTCAGAATGCTCTTTGATTGTAGGTGAACTATTAATCCCAGCAGCTGCAACTCCCAAATGACAAAATCATTTTTTTCGAGTGAAGGACATACATTGGATTGTTAGGTATATTGTGTCCAAATTTGGGGTCAATTTGCCCAGCGGTTTTCGAGTTCTGTTAATCCCACAAACTAACATTACATTTTTATTAATATAGATTAGTATTTTAATGGTAAGTGTGGGCCTGCTTTGGGCTGATGAGATAGGACTGTTATTGTTGTGTGCTTTCAAGTCATTTCAGACTTGACCCTGAGCGAGGGCTGGGTAAATGATCTTGGAGGGCCGTATTTGGCCCTCGGGCCTTTGTTTGAGGACCCCTGAGCTAGACTATTGTTTACCAAATGCACACCTATAAATCTCTGTGGATGTATAAGATAAGTCAACCCAGAGACTTAATACAAACTGCATTAGCTACTTCTAAAGGAGGGTATCGATGGCTGTTATGGGTCCCATTCAGAGCCGTAGCAAGAAAAAAAATTCGGGAGGGGTTGAGATTTTCGGGGGCGGGGGGTTGAAAATTTTGCAGGGGGGGGTTGAAACCTGCCTCCTAGCTCACGCTGAAGCAAAGAGCACAGCAGGGGGCAGAACAGCCTTCCATAGCCTGCAGCTCCGCCCTTGTCAACCACCTCCACCAAGTCTGGCCTCCTTAATGAGAGCATTCAACATCCCCCCCCCCAACTTGGTTGCTTCACTACTGTTCTGTTGCGCGCTGGGCCTGTAAATAATTGTCTTTAGAACAGGATGTGCAACCTTTGCCCAGCGGGAAGCCAGGGGGCCTAAAGAGAAGTTCTCAGAGGTTTCCACCACAAACAGTCTTTAGATGGCTTGAGAAGTACAACAAAGTCTTTTATTAATGAACAATCAAACAGAAACTTCTCTTGTCTTCAGTAAAGTTAAGCAAATGATTCCAAGCTTTTAGGCAACTGGTGAATTCCTAATCTTGCCCACGAAGGACAGGCAACTGTCTTCAATAACTTCTTCTTTAAAGGAAAATCCCCGTTTTAACTTCTCAAGGCTGACTGTAATCTAACCCTTACTGATGTGGGCTCCGCTACCGGGTCGAACTGCGTCTCGAACGCCGAGTGGACCTACCAGCAAGGCAGTAGATGTTCTCCAGCTGGAGTTCTTTGGTCTTTAGGGCTGTTTTCCTGGAAATTCTTTGGAGACTCTTAAGACCTTTCTCCCCCGGAAGGTCTTAAGGGTTGAAGCTTTTGTACAGGGGAAGCTTGCACACATCCTATACATAAGCTTACCTTGCTGAGACTAACTAAAAATGGCTCCCTTCCCTTCCCAATTGCCCTGAGCAAGGGGTGGGACCAAAACTTAACAATGATGGACAGGTGACTTGCCCTATGACTGCAACCAAAGAAGCCACCTATCTGCAGAGTCCCTGAAACCTAGGACTGCAAGCAAACATTTAATACAAAGCAAATAAAGTTGGAGCTCCTGGTACAGCTGTACCAGAACAACTACATCGGCTATTGCTACAAGTAATGACAGTGTGAATAAATTGCTAATATTTGCTTGAGATAGTGCTTGCAGTTCTGGAGGGACTCTTGATTTTTTGCATCTCATAGACTTAGCATGGGGATTTGGTTAACCAGTTAAAATTCATGAGTAAACCAGGTTTTTTAAAAAATCTGAAACATTTCGGGGGGGGTTGAACCCCTAAACCCCCCCCCCTCGCTACGGGCCTGGTCCCATTAGAAAGGAAGCTGATTCACGAGTTTTGGAAATGAAAGACAGCATAAAACAGGAAAAGAAGCCAAAGAGGAGGATACCTGGAAGGTGCGTCTCTTTATGACTGGAGGTGGAGCCAGCCGCACTGAATTGAGAAGAGGCAACAGCTGAAGAAGACCGAATGAGAAGGTCACAGGGCAAGGCCAAAAGTCACAAGGCAAAGAAGGTCAGTAGGGCATCAAAAGTCATAGAAAACAGCCAATGAAGAAAATGGACAGAGAAAAAGAGAAAAAGAAAACCATGAAAGTGAACAGAAACAAGAGTGCAGAGCATCACGAAAATGAATTTGTCATTGGATACCTCCTGGCAAACCTCTGAACTCTCCTATATTACATTTTAGTCATTTGACACATATTAGCATCTGGAACACAAGGAATAAGCTTTGGGTTTGCTCTTCGGGATTTAAGGTTTAAAATATTTCCTGGTTATATACTTCAAAGTACAACTTTTTTGTTGGTCGTATCAGGAGCAATTTGAGAAACTGCAAGTCGCTTCTGGTGCGAGAGAATTGGCCGTCTGCAAGGACGTTGCCCAGGGGATGCCCGGATGATTTTGATGTTTTTATCATCCTTGTGGGAGGCTTCTCTCATGTCCCCGTATGAGGAGCTGGAGCTGATAGAGGGAGCTCACCCATCTCTCCCCGGATTCGAACCTGCGACCTGTCGGTCTTCAGTCCTGCTGGCACAGGGGTTTAACCCACTGCGCCACCGGGGGCTCTTAAAGTAAAGTAAAACTAAAAAGTAGATACTATGCTCCAGTGTTTTTTATTTTAAAGAAAAGCACAGATACTTTCTTATCTGTTCACCTAAGCACAAAAGTACTGTGATACTTAAGTTATGTCTACACTTGTTCTTGGCACTTTTCTGTGTTTGTAATATCCCTATTTCCATTTTCTTTCTTCATGATCACATTTTGCTTACCTTCTTGCCATGATACATTACATTGCTCTCTCATCCAGTGTTTTTAAACTTTTAATCTCTGCAACCGGCCCTGCCCACTGTGATCAACTTTCTGTGTTCAAATATTGTGATTTTATATTGTTCTGATGTATTTATTTATACTGTTTCTTGTATTTTATCTTATTTTCTTATATTTTCTTATTAAATTTTTATGTTGTATATTTGCATTGTTGGATTGCTGTAAGCCACCCCGAGTCCCCTTGGGGAGATGATGGCGGGGTATAAATATAATAATAATAATAATAATAATAATAATAATAATAATTATTATTATTATTATTATTATTAGCTCCTTGTTTCCTTGCCAGCTAAATGGTGACTGTGTAAATATCGAATTTTTTTTTTGTCGGGTATTTTTTAAGTAAGGTCTGTTTTGTTGTAGACACTAGTAGTTCGCACGCATACCGCAATGAACGCATGCGCCGTGCTTTGGGAACAACTGTGCTCAGTTTCCGCTCTGTAGCTAACCTGTACGGTTCTGTTCTGTGCTTTAAAAAAGACTATCAACTCACCCTCCGCATGTGAGGCTCGCTCAGTGATACGGTTTTTGTCAGCAAGGAACCTGCCTGCTGCAGAAATTCATCGACAGATTTGTGAAGTGTACGGTGATACTGTTATGAGTGAAAGCAAAGTGCTTAAGTGGGTACGACAATTCAAAGATGGCTGTGACAACGTCCATGATGAGGACTGCTCTGGTCACCTTTCTTTGATTACAGAGAACTCTTGGTTATCGGAGCAGGCGGCAAGTTTTTATGAAGAGGGTATTCTAAAATTGGTTCAGAGGTATGATAAGTGTTTGAACAAACTTGGCAACTATGTCGAAAAATAGAGTGAAATATGTACTTCCTGAAAATAAATGTACTTTTTTGAAATAAACTTTCGTTGTGTACTTATGTTCAAATGGACCTTACTTAAAAAATACCCCTCGTATTTCTAGATTGGTTCTGATTTTTAGCACTGATGCAATTTTACTCTTTACTAGACAAGACTGCTCAGCCATCATCAAAATGTCTCCTTACTTTTAAAAAAAATCTGTGATAGTGAATGAGACAACACCTTTTTAATGCCTGAAGTAGTTATTTAGTGGCTGAATAATGCAAGAAATCTTGTCAACAAGATACAATCTCTACGTATTTCTAAGTGCTTTTATTTACGGCCGGAGGTTTAGCACAGCTAATCACCAGCAACTATAAGATCTGTCAACCGAATGGTTGCAAGTTCGAAGCCCCGGATCGGCGTGAGCCGTCAACTGTCAACCCTGCTCACTGTTTACCTAAGCAGTTGAAAACAGCTTTAGTTGTAATTAGAGAAATTAGGTACCGCTATAAGCAGGGGAGGTGTTTTACGACATCATAAAGAAAGAAGATTGGAAAATGCTGGGTGACCAAAAAGGAAGGAAAAAGTCCTGCCAGCTCTTCGTCATAGAGCAGTGGTTCTCAACCTGGGATCCCCAGATGTTTTGGCCTACAACTCCCAGAAATCCCAGCCAGTTTACCAGCTGTTAGGATTTCTGGGAGTTGAAGGCCAAAACCATCTGGGGACCCCAGGTTGAGAACCACTGTCATAGAGGATGGAGCAATAGCACCTCCTGTGGCTGGACTCACCTTCCTTGGTACCAAAAACAGATGGATACTAATTCGACAACAACTCCTTTCTGTTCTGTCTGTGTATTGTCTATACAAAGCGGCACTGAATGTTTGCCGTGTATGTGTGCTGTGATCCACCCTGAGTCCCCTTTGGGTGAGAAGGGCAGAATATAAATAAAGTGTTGTTGTTGTTGTTGTTGTTGTTATTGGAGATTATTATCAGAACTCATTCCTTCAGTTCAGCACACAAAGCTTATTCTCCTTGAATGTTATTATCACAATTTGAGTCCTAATTTTCATCAGTACAAACACAAAACCAATCAAGTTTTGATAATGTTCTGAAGGACGAGTGTCTTGAAGATCTGTTTACAGGCTAAGAGGTGTGCCTGCAGGTCTCCCATGACAGTTTCTGTGAACACTTTAGAAAGTACATTTTCTTTTCCTTATTTATGGCTGTATACTCTTTAGTATAAGCCAAATTCCAACCTTGTTGCAAAGTGAAATGTCACCACAATATTGCAGAGCTGCAACCCAGTCATTCTGGGCTGTTGGATAAAATTAGAGAGAACATGTTATAGATGTAAAATTGGAAGAGCAAGGTTTGGATTAAGAAGGCTTCAATTCACAGCAGTTTCAAAGACCACAGAGGAGCAAGGTCAATGAACCACATGTGGTAGGAGGGAAGGGATCACTGTGGTCCTAGTAGTTCTTACAATAAGATGGTAAAGCAAGAAGGATTTTCAAAAGAGTGTGTGCTACATATGTTCTGCTCAAAGTACTAAATCTGAGTGCATGTGGCAATTCATTCTTTCTCATAAAACCTGGACCAAGAACCTATACCCATCATGATATACTTGTTGATTCCTTCTAATATCTCATAATCCTTCCGATGTGTCTTTGGAGAGTGACTATCCCATTTCTGTTTGTTCCATCTACAGTTGTCCTCATGATCCACCTTCCCCTTGTCCTTAATAAAGCCAAACCCCACTGCTTGCCTTCTTGGACTCCTCCCTCACAAATATACTTTTTATTCCTATCTCACCCAGGGTTTAAATGTTCTATCTCACGCATTTGATCTGCTCTTGTGTCTGATTTTTATTATGTGCTTTTGCACTGTTTAGTTTATTGTATTTTGTTACTTATGTATTTTGTTGTGATATAATTTCTCTGTTGTTTTGTGTCCAACTTTGCTGTATTATTTTGGGCTTGACCTCATGTTAGTCACCCAAAGTCCCCTTTGGGGGAGATGGTGGCAGGGTATAAATAAAGTTTTATATATATATATATTAGGGCTGGGCGGTTTCGTTTCGTTAATTCGTAATTCGTTAATAATTCGTTAATTTTTTTAATTACAAAACGATAACGAACCATTCTGGAGCATTTTTTAAAAAAAACGAATTTTTGTAAATGCTTCGTATTTCGATATTGTATTCGTTTCGTTATGGTTTTGAGGTCGTTTCGTTATTATTTCCGCATGTCTGGGCCAGTTTTATGGTTTAATTAGTGAAAAAAAATTATAATATCACACCAACAGTCAACAACAGAGGGAGAGGGAAGCTTCAGAAGGTTTTGGAGGTTTTTTAGCGTATTTCGCGGTCGCGTCCGCCATTAACGAATCGATTCGTTATTGTTTCGGAAATCGATTCGTTAATTTTTTACCATTTACGAAATTTCATAAATATCGAACTTTTTAAAAGGAAAATTTTGTAATTATTTTAAATATCGAAACAAAAAAACCCCCAAATACAAATCGATTTTAGAAACAAATTTTTCCGTTGTTACCCAGGCCTAATATATATATATATATATATATACTAGCTGTCCCCTGCCACGCGTTGCTGTGGCTTAGTCTGTTGATCTGGAAAATAAAGTAATGAGAAAGTGTTGGTTTCTAATATAAACAATATATTTGTGGGTAAACAGTATTTCCTGCTGTTTCTTTGTCAGTGTTGATGTGGAGAGTGTCTGGTTTGCCCACCCTGGAACATGCAAGATATCATTGTCCTTCTTTAAGGGTCCCTTTCAAATCTATGATACTATATCTGTATGTGTGTGAATCATATCTATCTATCTATCTATCTATCTATCTATCTATCTATCTATCTATCTATATCGATGGCTGGATGGCTCTTTGTCAGGAGGACTTTGATTACGTTTTCTTGCCCTGATGAAGGGAGTTGGATTGGATGGCCTTAAGTATTTTCTGTTGGTCATGGGGGTTCTGTGTGGGAAGTTTGCCCCGATTCTGTCATTTGTGGGGTTCAGAATGCTCTTTGATTGTAGGTGAACTGTGAATCCCAGTGACTACAACTCCCAAATGTCAAGGTCTATTTCCCCAAACTCCATCTGTGTTCATATTTGGGCGTATTGAGTGCTTGTGCCAAGTTTGGTCCAGATCCATCATTGTTTGATCCACAGTGCTCTCTGGATGTAGGTGAACTACAACTCCCAAACTCAAGGTCAATGCCCACCAAACCCTTCCAGTATTTTCTGTTGGTCATGGGAGTTCTGTGTGCCAAGTTTGGTTCAATTCCATCGTTGATGGAGTTCAGAATGCTCTTT